TAGAAAAGGGATAAACAGCTCTATATCTGCCCAAGATGGAGACCCAACCTGTCATTACTGGGGACCTTAAAGACGGTTGGTCTGTCCATTTGCTATACTAAGATAAATGTTAGTAAAAGTGTTGTATGAGATTGTGGGTGGGGCTGAGGGCTTGCCCTGGGCCCTGCTGACACTGATGGTGGCTAGCATGTGCCTTACAGAATGTTAACAGCATCCCTAACTCTCTCACCCCATCACATGGCACCAGCACCACCTCCTGACAGGGAGATGTCCTCCCCAGAGGGGAGCTCACTAGGTGAAGGGAAGCAGGAGTGACCCAAGCAACAGTAAAAACATGCTATCCCTCAAACAGAGGAGGCTGGGGCTAGGAAGAGCTGGTGTGGGGAGGACAGTGCCAATGTCTAGCCACTACCAGACCCTTGATGAGTCATGGAGAAGGGCTCAGGCAAGAGGTACTCCCGGCTTCTACTCCCCTCCAACATCCCAGGGTCTGTTTCCCAGTGAATGAATTCAACTCGAAGCCCAATGACTAGGAGACCTGGGTTATGGAATCATAGAGATCAAGATCCCAAGACATCAGGCAGGGCAAAAGGCAAAACAAATTCAAAGGCAAGCAGCAAAGCACTGACTGGTTGGAGGCAGCTCAGCAAAGTGATCCAGAGCTTGGGCTGCAGGGCCTGGCTGCCTGTTACTCTCTGCCTGTGTAATCTTGACTGTACTTCTCCAAATGTCAACCCCCTGGGTGTCAGATAGTAACAACAGTGCCATCGACCTCATTCTCAAGTCTAGGAGTTGTCTATGTAAGACCATAATCCAATAGTAATGGCTGCTATCTGTTAGAGACCCAGTACACACAAACATGTTTCTCTCCATAGATTATCTATCCATATCTATAGAGAGACATAGATATATAAAGTTGCTTTCTGAAGTCCTAAGGATTGAACCCAGGCCCTCCTTCAGTGCAAGAAAAGCACTTTCCCATGGAACTATATCTCCAGCCCTCCCCTAGGAGTTCAGAGCCATGGGCTTCAGCCATGGATCAGTCCCATTTACCACTGGTAATCACTATAAGGGTCCTGAGGCAGGTCTCACTAACATAGGAGGAAGAAACGAGTATAGCAGATGAAGCAGACAGAAGCCAAAGCGGGGAAGGGAAGGAGGCAGGAGAGAAGAGGACTGTGACTGAAGGTCTCAGTGGCCAGATCTGTCAAGGGGAGTCTGGCAGTGGAGCTTGCTGTTTGTCATCAGAGGGTCACATAGTCAAATGTCCATGTGGACAGGGCAAGAAAACACCCCCTTTGAATAGTAGTGAGGGGGCAAGGAGTAGGGGACACAGCTCTCTGCCATGAGGCATGGCCACTGCTCTTCCCCAGACACCAGACTAATGTGTCATTTCCCTCAGACTAAGCTGTCAACCCTCTGAGAAAGGGCCTGGGTTTTCCTCGTGTCTCTTGGTTCCTCACACCGCAGCTGATCAGTGCACACTGTGAGTAGGAAATCACTTAGATTGACGGGTGATGGGTCGGGAAGAAAAAGAGAGAGAGGTAGTTAATGTGTGTTAATGTTCAGGCCTCCAACACCCTGACCAGTCCCCTAAAGCCGATACAGGTTCCCACAGATGCCTCAAACAAAGTTCTCCAGAGCTACAGAAAGAACAAACTCAGGCATCACCACTCAGCAGCTCTCACCTGACCTCTCAGATCAGAGGGGTGAAAAAGAGAGTCATCAGGCCTTACTCTAGACAGCCTACCCTGGGCAGGTCACAACCCTGGCACTCCAGCCCTAGGGCACCCAGTGCCCTGCTCTGGTTCTGCAAATCCCAGAACACACATTCATTCTCATTCATTCTCATTCTCTCTCTCTCTCTCTCTCTCTCTCTCTCTCTCTCTCTCTCTCGCTCTCTCCCTCTCTCCCTCCCTCCCTCCCCCTCCCTCTCCCTCTCCCTTTTTCTCCCTCTCTCTCCCTCTTCTCCTTCCCTCCCTCCCTCTTCCTCTCCCTCTATTTGTCTGTCTGTCTCTCCCTCCCTCCCTCTCTCTATGTGTATGTCTGTCTGTCTGTGTCTCCCTCCCTCTCTCCCCCCCTCTCTTCCTCAATCCTTCTCTTCATCTCTCTCTGCATTGTCTTGATCCCCATAGCTTTGTGGTAAGTTTTGAAATGGAAAAGGGAGTTTGTGGATTAAATCCTTCGCTTTTGTTTCTGATTTTCAGGATCTCTTGAGTATGCTCGGTTCACTGCAAACTCATAACCACACTTGTTGCTTGGCTGCTGGCTTTCTTGTTTCCTTGATGGACTTGCCAGCCTGAGTGCTAAGTGGAAAGTCCCCTCGCTCTTCTCTAGCCTCCCTTTAGAGGCAACTTGGCCAGCAGAGATCCGACTCTGTCCAAGTTTAGTCCAGGGCCAAATAGTCAACTAGGGGATGTGTAGGCTGCACCTGGCCTTGGAGCAAGAGACCCACACCATCTAATCCCAGCATCCTACCTTCCTGGCATCCTCCCTGGTGATTGTGATCCTCTCCAGGTTCATGTCCAGCCACCCCACACACGTTCTTTTTGTGCCTATCATTTTCCTACCCCTTCCTAAGAATGACTCACGGCACAGAGAGAAGCCATTTTGCTGTCAGTGTAACAGCTTGTCCTTTCTGGTGGCATGTCTGGTCACACCCATGTGTTCTTTATTAGACCCAACACATGTGTCATCTAAGCTGCAGACTTTGATTTTACTGGTAAGAGAATTTTGTTTAATGGTATGTACCCCTGGTTAGCCTGGACTCACTATGTAGACTAGGCTGACCTTGAACTCTGGAGCTCTGCCTTTCTCTGCCTCCAAAATGCTGTGATTAAAGGTATGTACCTCCATGCCTGACGTGGGGAGAAATTTTTATCTTTCCTGTAGAGTTTTCAGTCCTTGCCTTAAGATCAAGGGAGGAAGGGAGGAGGAAAGGGGGGGAAGGAGGAAGAAGAAGAGGAGGAGGAAGAGGAAAAAGAAGGGCAGAAAAGTCAGAGGGTACATTTTTCTGAAATATCAAGATCAGCTAACCTAATGCTGATCCCATAATACAGGTTTACATGTGTGCCTTTTTAATGAGTAAAAGTGAGAAGGCCAGCATGCTGTTCACCTTCAGACTTCAGAGAAGCTGTCTCTCATGGTGCCATCCTGCAAGGAAGGGACAGTCTGCTCTACGCCATATTTAGCACTGTATTACCACCAAGATACAGACTTGTGCCTGCTCCCAGTGCTGGTTGAAGTGTACAGAACAGACAGCCAAGGCTCTTGAGAGTGGAGGGTCGGCTCTGTACCCTGCTCTGTCACCTCCAGGTAGTGCCAACCATGCTGGAGAGTCACTATCCTGCTCATCTCACCATCTAAACAAAACACCATGCTTCTGCAAGTTCCTGTGGATAGCCTAGTCTTTATTTCAGATCTAACATGAAACTGTTGGCAATTCTGTTTCCTCAGAGCCACTTTGAGTTCTGTGACTGTACAGTAGAAGCTTTAGCTCTGATAGCCTCATGTGTGAGGCAGAATTAGTAACACACAATCCTTAGATGCTGGGCTCTGAAGGTGTAGCTTGGTGGCACAGGACTTGGCATGCATAAGGCCCTGGCAACACCACAAAAGCATAGCTCCTGAAAGGACTAGAGGCCAAGTACTCAGTAGGGCTACAAATGCCACAGACCTTCCATAAGTACTCAGTAGGGCTACCAGTGCCACAGACCTTCCATAAACCCAGCTAACCCTGAGGGCCTGGCCGTCTAGTCCACATCTCAGCCCTTTCCTGTGTGGTTCAGCTGTTGTCAGACGGCCAGGAACAGTTTCTGGTCTGAGCTGAGCTGTGGGTTGGGAGACAGGAGGATGAGCAGAAGTACGTCATTAAGTGGAAACACCAGTGCAGGGAGGGGCCTTCCACAGAGATCTACTTGGAGTTGAAAACCTTACATCTTGGGGTTCAGGCTCCTCTTGCTGAGGTGAGAAAGCTTAAACCAATCCTACTTGCAACTCCACATTTAGGCCTAAGGCCCAACAATCAAGTAAGCAGGGTTCCCCCAAGATACCTACTTCTCTTTTCTATACTTACTCTTTCAGCACCTTACAAAGCCAGAAGTCAAGAGGATAAACAAGAAAGTCACTGTCCATACAACGGCAACAAAATGTTGCCTGACACATAAAAATCAGGACCAACACCCAGTGCACCCCTGCCTTTGCACAGCTGTGAGACATGTGAGGCTTCACATTTGTAACCGGGATGAGAGCAGGAGCTCAGCTCAGTTGGTAGAATGCTGGCCTCCAGTGCTTCCCTGAAGCTGCATAAAGCTGGACGGACACGGTGCCACACTCCAACAGTCCCAGTACTTGGTAGGCAAAAGCAGAGGATAGCAAACATTCAAGATGGTCCTTGGCTACAAGGCATGGTGGCTGGCACATGTAATCCGTGTGTCCAAGAGGTAGAAGCAAGAGAATCAGAAATCATGGCCATCCTTGACAACATCTAGTTGGAAGCTAGCCAGCTACATGAGATTCTGTATTGGGGAGGTAAGGGGAGTTGAAAGGAAAAAAATGTTTTTACATGTGGAATTTGAATGGTAGCATGCATAGATAGCATTTTACTGGCACACAGCCACCATCTCTATTGATTGTCTCTGTAATGCTTGGATCAGGATCATAAAACAGATGAGGTAAAGTGTGCTGCCACTCTGCTCTGAGATGACAGGGGTCCCTCGCCTTCCACGTGTGCTAGAGAGGCTAAGAGAGATGTGTGGCCCCCCACGCGCTGCTGCTCTATAGGATAGGCTGACGGGGCTCAGGCTAAGGGCTAGATCTAGCCATGTAGAAAGAACCTAGGATAGGACCCAGAGCCTTCCATGAGCAGCTCCACTTCCACTGCCACCCTGGTGTGATTACACGGGTTTTAGCCAAGACCCTCCACGTTCCCAGGCTCCTCCAGACTTCTTAGGACTGGCCCTGAGCTACATTCAGTGATTGCTTCCCTCCTGTCTCTACAGAGTTTGCCTTCTGCCAGGTGGATGCCTCCATTGCTCTCACCCTAGCCCTAGCTGTTCTGTGTGACTTGCTCCGGCAGTGGGACCAGCTGGGGCCAGGACTGCCCATTCTACTGGGATGGCTACTGGAAGAGGGTGATGACCTCAAGGGCCTTGTGCAGAGCCCACATCAGGTAATCCCACTTACTTACACTGGGGGCAGACAGCGTGTCCTAGCTCCAAAGTGGAGCCCTGAGGGCCTGGGGAGTTTCTAGATAATAAAACAAACGTGTGCCTCTGCCTACTCTAATGACTAGGAGAAAACCTCCTGGGTGAGGCTCACAGGACTTTGGAGGTCCTGATGGCAAGGTTCAGACAAGTTAGGAAGGGCACTTTGAAAAAAATCACCTTGAATATTGAGAATAAAATTAAGAAAAATGCTTATTAGTTGATCTTAGCATGGGCAAGGGCCCTTACAGCTCTGAGTCTAAGCATTTCCCAAGAATTAGGATCCTTCTAGAGAACATGGTACTTGACTCCTCTTCCTAGTAGGGAACAGCCACACACATCTAGAAACTGAAGACCAGCATAGGCAGTATAGGCACTGGGAAAACAGCAGTCTGTCCCCACATATGACTGCTAGCTAGCTTGGTATCCTAAGCAGAACAAGAGTCAGCATATACCCAAGCTTCAAAACCCAGTCTGTGTTATAAGAAACAGGAAGATGTAATAAAGTGTTTTTGATGAAATGACCCTGAACACCCATGACATTCTAGAAACTCGGTCTCTAAAGGCTACTGTCACACATGTCCCAGTAACTCTTTGCTCTGCTGCCTTTGTGCCTCCTCTGAATTTTCTTGGCACACCTTAAAACCTAAGATTTTTCTCAGTACACCTTAAAACCTAAGACCCACTTCCACACCACCAGTTCCCCAAGTATCTTGGCTTGGAGCTACTTCACACCGTTATCAAGGGTCATGTTACAGCTAGGAGACAAATACTCCTCCCTGGGAGAGAGGTACCAAGTGAAAGTAGAAGTGGCCTTCAGAGCTGCCAGTGCTGTGGCATGGGTGTTGACAGGCCCAAGTGAGCCCTCTGTCAGGAGCAGACACAGCTCCCACATCCAGTGCTGTGTCTGGCTCCGCAGGACTCCTAGGAGCCTTACTTTGGCTGTTTTCCCTATATAGGGGGAAGAAGAGCACATATTTGAAAAATCAGAAGTCAACTTCTGGGCTGAGACTCTGACCTTCGTGAAATACTTGTGTAGGCAACTCTTCCATCTCCTCTGTCAATCTGGCTGGCAGTCCCCTCACTCCCAGAAGCTCTGCGACTTGCAGAGGATAGCATCAGAACAGCGTCACCTCATCTCTCAGCAGTTCAGAGGACTGCCACTCTCTGCTGAATTTTTGAAGACAGTGGAATACACAAGGCTACGCGTTCAGGAAGAGAAGACTTTGGCTGTCTTGAGGCTGTTGGCCTGCCTAGAAGGAGAAGGAAAGGAGGTCCTCAGAGCCGAAGACTGTCCTAGGGAATGGAGGCAAGAAATGGCCCCAAGACCAGAAGCAGCATGTTGAAGAAAGAAGGCTGGGGCCCTCAACTCAGGTCTGCAAGACGCATGGTGGACATCAATTGAAACTCTTGTCCTCTGGTGCCTCCCCACTTCTGGGAGTGTAGGCTTCTGTCCCTTCCTACAGAGGATCTTGTCATCAGCACACTCATTCAAGGCAACCCAGTTAATTGCAGCTACCTAGGAAGTGACACGCTGCTCTTCTGAATATTTACTGTCTCCAGGTGCAGGCCACCTGCAGGCCTGACTTAGCCTTTTCCATCCCAAAGCCAGAGCCTGTTTCCCTGTTACACTGACTCCATTGAATTGAATTTTAGCACACCTTTCTTTCTCTCTCTCTCTCTCTCTCTCTCTCTCTCTCTCTCTCTCTCTTTTGCACACACACATGCACACGCACAGAGTGGTCTTTTGTTTGGTTTGGTTTTGTCTGGGCTGTGTATAGATGCTCGGTTAGTTAGCAAATACCTGTTTGGACATATTTCTAAACTTTTACTCCATTTTTAGTAAAGGAGAAATATGTTCCAAGTGTTTGATTCTGGGAAAATGAGAATCCACAGCATGCAAATACTTGTGTTTTATTATCTACATGTCCAAGTCCTTCAGTGGCCCATATTAAGAGTCCCTGCTGTCTTCCCCAGAAATGCCTGCAAAGACAAGGAAACCTGATTGTCACCCATCGCTGGCTTCAGCTATTTGAAGGAGCCTGGGGAAAGGGAAGCCTGAGAAAATGCTTAATCCATTCAGTGCCTCCATCCTGTGACTGGGGCAAACAGCAAGACCATTTGTACTTCAGTAATTCCATCTAGAAACCTTAAGGCTTTCTGTCACGTCAGGCCCAGCCCAGCTGGCATGCTCGGACACCAGCAGGTGGCACTCTTGCACACGTTATGCTGCTGGTCTAGCTCTATCGCTTTCTTTTTAAAAGACTTCTGTCAGCTCCTGTGCATGATATGAGGCCAGCCGTGCCACAGCATGAATGTCTGAGGAAATCAAGGGACAACTGTATAGAGTCAGTTCTCCCCTTCCACCTGTACATGGATCCAGAGATCCAACTCAGGCTCCGGCTTGCGTAACAAACCCCTTACCCACTGAGCCACAGCATCAGGGCCCAGCTTGTCACCATTAATGTGTACTTACAGCATATGTGACACCCACAAACACTCGCCCTCAAATCCACGGCTTGTATTTTTCACTGTAGCTTGCTCCACGTTCCTAGTTATCCACAAAGACCGTGCCAGCCATAGTTAGGAACTTATAGGGCCTATACATATGTTCAGATGCTTCTCAGCTGAGCAGTCACTTAGAATTGTGAGGCAAGTGGACTGAATGTGCAGCTCAGAGAGGCATTTCATGTGCTGTTTCCTTTTGCAGAAAAGCTGACATTTCACATGTAGTTGGTCTCTGAGAAGAAAACCATCCCACACCACAAAAACACAGCTATGCTGGAGTAGAGACCTGCCCAGGAAGAGGGAAGGCAGAAGCAGTGTCCATCCTGTCCATAAAGAAGAACAGAAAACCCCCTAGGTGCCCTTACAGACACTCAGCACCCGGTAATAATTACCTAGTTAGCTGTCAGTGTGGCCTACCTCGGATGAAAAATTGAAAACCTAACATTTTTTAGTTTGTTTTTGGTTTTGCTTTTATTTTTCTGAGCTGGGCTTGCTATTTACACCAGGCTAGCCTCAAACATGTGTTAATCCTCCTGCCTCTGCCTCTCAAGTGCCAGGATTCCAGGCACACACCACTATACCCAGCATTACACTATTTTAAGATCTAGCTGCTGTGAGGGGCTGGTGGTATAATGTGGTGATAACCTTGGGAGATTAATCCTGGTCCGGGCCGACCTTCCCTCCCCCTCCCATCTAAAATGAAATAAAAGCAGTTACATAACAATAAAGCTGTCTCACATTAGCAAGCATGCTGTACCAAAGCATGTTCCAGAGCATGTTCATGTTATCTCTAAGTCCATCCTACCAAGTCTACCCAGTGGCTGTTCTCGCTGCTGTTAGCTGGGAATTACCCCAAATTTAGATCTTGGCCATCTGTGGCCAGGCTGGGAGGGCACGAGGGATGGGTGTTTCCACAGGTTTGTGTCTGAGATCCTACTAGCAGCAGCTAGAGGGATGCTACCTGCTCTCCTGAGGCATCCTGAGAGGAACCAGGAAAACCTTAGGCAGAGTCATGCTTACAGTTGGGGTCCTTTCAACCACAGCTGCCCAGCAGTCCTAGAGGCAAGAACACCGTGGGTGGGAAGAGGGATGCAGCCACCTTCCCTAAGTCACTACACTGAGATCTGACTCATTCTGGAACATCAGCCACTTGCTCAGACCATAGCCAAAAGACAGTTTGCTTTAATACATAGGATGGTAAGGACTTTTTTTCCCTTATTGAGGTATGGTCTCACTTCCACGGTAAGTTGTGCTAGGCTGGCTGAAAACTCAATGGCAGTTTGTCTGCCCCTGCCTCCCAAGTGCTGGGATTATAGGTATGAACCACTGTACCTACTTAGCACTACATTCGTGACCCTACAGTCCTCCGGTTCTGCCATGGGCTCTTCCTACAGGGGCAGCATGCACTGCAGTGTGGCCAAATGCACCTGGACACAGGAGCCTTTGAGTGACACACCTCCGTACCTTCCAGGTTAAAGGATACAGCCCAAGTGCACAAGCAGACAGGAAGAGCAACGTGGGGAGGATGCAGTTGGTCGCGCGTCCTTCCCTGGCAACTCCTGGGCCTTCCACCCAGGGCGACCTAGTCTGCCAGCTGGGTAAAATCATGGGCCCAAGTCCAGCTTTTGGCAGCCAGCATAAACTCAGTGTAGGGATAAAGGGTTCTGGACCTGACCAGATCGGCTGAGTAAAGCTGTCCGCAGCTTTAGCCTCTCTAGGAGCTATGTGTGTAGGGGTGTGCCCCCCTCAAAAAGAGTCAGGGGCCTTTTGGGAAGGTTTTGTCAATGGAAAGCTAGTAGGAGTTGCACTAAAGGCAACAGAATGAAGACCACTCCCCTCAACCTGGGTGGTGGTTCAGCAACCACCGCCTCCGGCAGCTAGCACAAAGCTTAGATTCAATTCTGTGCCTCCCACAGCCGAAGAAGGAAGGTTGCAGGACTCGACAGGCCAAGGCTGTACAGGCGGGAAGCCTTGGCTAGCAGCTGCACCCCCATCCCTGAGACGGGTGGGGAGGCCAGGCCAACCAGCAGGCACAAAGGTGAAGGAAGTGACTTCCTCCGTGTCCACACTGCTTCCCCGACTTCCCTCTAGTTCCCTGGAGGCGGCTTTCCGCGCCCGAACACCCCGCGCCACTCCGCGCCTTTGGCCCAGGCTCAAGGTCTTGTGATGTGATTAGCAAAGCCAGCGCCTTGTCCTCAGACACTCAGCCCTGCCCCACAGGCCGCAGCGCTCAAGTCCTGTTTACTGAGCCTGGGCGGGGAGAAGGGCGGAGAAACGCTCCAATGCTCCTCCAGGCTGGCCGCTCCCACCCCCACCCCTGCGGCGTCCCCACGTGTAGCTGGGCCCGAGCGGCCACCTACGGGACAGGCCACGACCCCCGCCCCCAGTCCCAAGCTACTTGGCAACGCGCACCATTGCATTATTGTTGCGTTTTGCAGTTCCCGCGCGCCGAGCAAAAACTATGCTGGGAGATAAAAGCTGGGGCAGTCGGCCCAGCATGATCGGGCGGGGAAAGGCACGTCCGGGGTAGCCCGGTCCGGGTCAGATAGAACGTGAAAGTGTTTTTCCAACGCTATACTCCAAGAGGCGGACGAGAAGGAGATATTCCCGCCGCCGCCCAGCAGCACCCAAAGGGGCCGCGCTCCCCACGCCGCCCGGGACGCCCGGGCTGCCCGCCCCTCCCCTCTCCGCCCCTCCCCCGAAGGGGAAAAATTGGCGGCGACCAATGAGAGGCCGAGAAGGGGCCTGACGTCCGCGGGCCGCGGGCGGCGTTGCCTGGAGACCCCGGCCGGTCAGCGTTCAGTCCCCTCCCCGAGTGCGCTTTGCCCCGCCGCCGCGCCGCTCTCGGGCTGTATATAGGGCGCGCGCTCGCGGGTCTCCGAGTTCCACCAGTCCGCGAGCTGCCGACGGCTCGCGCGGGGGGCAGGCCGAGGCGCCGAGCTGCGCTCTCGCTTCTCCTCTGCCCCCCACTCCGCGGCCTCTTCCTCGGCCCGCAAGCAAACTTTCCGTCCCTCCCTGCCCCTCGCCCGTTATTCGTCTTGGTTCGAGCCGCGCCGCACCGAGGGCTCCTCCCAACCTCCCCGCTTGCAATTCCGACCATTACAGGACCCAGAAAAATGTCGACCACACTTTTGTCAGCCTTCTACGATATCGACTTCTTGTGCAAGGTAAGCCGGCAGCGGGAAAGGACGGTGGACGGCCTGGAACTCTTTGGAGTTCCGGGCCGAGGCGGGAGGGACCCTTCCAAGTTGACTTTGCGGGTGGAGGGAAGTCCTGGACTTAGCAGTACTGTGCTTGCGACTGTGGGCGTGGAGAGCGGGGAGGGAGCGAGTAGCGGCTGGAGCAGCCGTGCTCCTCCGGAGCGGACCGCGGCCACGCTGCCGGGACTTCCCGGACAGTGTTTGCGCCGCCCACCCCGTGGCCACGGGCCCAGGATCACATGGCTAGACCCGGAGCGGCCGGGGTGGGCGTCCTCCGCTCTTCTCCGGCCCGCATTCTGCGAGTGTAGCCGTGGAGGCTGAATTGGAACCCACAAGAAACCCCAACAAGTGGGCAGTTGGGACTAGGCGTTCACTCTGCAGTTAGCCCCGACTCTCTTCCCCATCCGATTTTCATCCCGACCCCTCTCCCCTCCCTTTGGCAGACGGAGAAATCCCTGGCAAACCTCAATCTGAACAACATGCTGGACAAGAAGGCGGTGGGGACGCCCGTGGCCGCTGCCCCGAGCTCGAGCTTCACTCCGGGCTTCCTGCGACGCCACTCCTCCAGCAACCTCCACGCGCTCGCCCACCCCGTTCCCAGTCCGGGCAGCTGCTCGCCTAAGTTCCCAAGCGCCCCTAACGGCGGCAGCTGTGGCTCCGCAGGCGCGGGCGGCCCTCCCTCCTACGGCCAGCTCAAGGAGCCTTCAGGGGGCAGCGGCACGGCGCTGGTCAACAAGGAGAGCAAATTCCGGGACCGCTCGTTCAGCGAGAACGGCGAGCGCAGCCAGCACCTCCTGCACCTGCAGCAACAGCAGCAGCAGCAGAAGGGGGGCAGCGGCTCCCAGATCAACTCCACGCGCTACAAGACCGAGCTGTGCCGGCCCTTCGAGGAGAGCGGCACGTGCAAGTACGGCGAGAAGTGCCAGTTCGCGCACGGCTTCCATGAGCTGCGCAGCCTCACTCGGCACCCCAAGTACAAGACGGAGCTGTGCCGCACCTTCCACACTATCGGCTTCTGCCCCTACGGCCCGCGCTGCCATTTCATCCACAACGCAGACGAGCGGCGGCCCGCGCCGTCGGGGGGCGCCTCCGGGGACCTGCGAGCGTTCGGCGCGCGCGACGCGCTGCACCTGGGCTTTCCCCGGGAGCCGCGGCCCAAGCTGCACCACAGCCTCAGTTTCTCTGGCTTCCCGTCCGGCCACCACCAGCCGCCGGGGGGGCTGGAGTCGCCGCTGCTGCTCGACAGCCCCACGTCGCGCACGCCGCCGCCGCCCAACTGCTCCTCGGCCTCGTCCTGTTCCTCCTCGGCCTCTTCCTGCTCCTCCACCTCGGCGGCCTCCACGCCCTCGGGCGGCCCGACGTGCTGCGCCTCGGCGGCGGCGGCCGCGCTCCTCTACGGCCCCGGGGGCGCGGAGGACCTGCTGACCTCCGGGGCGCCGTGCGCCTCCTGCTCGACCACCTCGTGCGCCAACAACGCCTTCGCCTTCGGCCCGGAGCTGAGCAGCCTCATCACGCCGCTTGCCATCCAGACCCACAGCTTCGCAGCCGCGGCCGCCGCCTACTACCGCAGCCAGCAGCAGGGCCTGCCGGCCCCCGCACAGCCCCCCGCGGCCCCCGCGCCACCCTCGCCGCCCTTCGGCTTCCAGCTGCCGCGCCGTCTGTCCGAGTCGCCCGTGTTCGACGCGCCCCCCAGCCCCCCGGACTCGCTGTCGGACCGCGACAGCTACCTGAGCGGCTCGCTGAGCTCCGGCAGCCTCAGTGGCTCCGAGTCCCCCAGCCTGGACCCCGGCCGTCGCCTGCCCATCTTCAGCCGCCTCTCCATCTCCGACGACTGAGGCAAGGGGGCGCCCGCGAGGGGTTGGGAGGCGCTCGCTGCAGGGGGCACCGGTTGGGGGGTGACACTGCCGCAGGCCGACTTGCAAGCTCCTCCGAGCACTTGAACTGGAACTCTGCCGGGAGGGGACCCGCCCCTTCCCTTTCGGTTTTCTCGTTTCGTTTTTTTTATTATTATTTTTATTATTATTATTGCAAAGTTTTGTTCTTGTTGAAATAAAAGCCAACGAACTTTTCGTGTGGATGAACAAAATACTCACAACAGGGCGGTTGTGATGCGGAAAGAACAAAAGATAACCAAACACTTGTTTAGGTCTCAGATGAGTTTGAAACTCTAGTTTTAAAAGAAAAAAAAAAAAGATCAGCCCAGCACCAGCAGCTACCAAGCACCATTCCGTCTCTTCTTTCACTCAAAGCCTTAGTTACGGTCCAGATGTGAGGACTCTTACTTGGAAGGGATTCCAAGATCAGTGTGAGCCAGCCGGCCGCCACTTCCCTAAACTGTAAGCTTCTAGAATTCAAAAAAATGCCAAGAACATGCCTTGATGCGTAGCTCTCAGCCTCCTTTGTGGTGGTTGTTTACCTTGTTTTTTGTTTTGTTTTTTTAACAAAGTTCTGTATGTCTGGGGGTGGGGGAGCCCTTGCATTCCAAAGTGTGATAACAGGCTCACTGCCACCACTCAGTGGGCCTTTAGCTTAGAACCATTTCCTCTGCTCTCTGGAAGGCTTGGGCAGAGCTCAGTTCATAGTTGTTGGGAAATAAGTGCTTCAGTTTTAGCTGTTTTGAGTTGATCCGCACCACTGCACCACAACTCAATATGAAAAAGTATTTAACTTATTTATTGTCTTGTGAAAAGTATACATTGAGGATGTTCATACTGTATTTATCGAGTATGATGAAAGCAATAGATATATATTCTTTTATTATGTTAAATTATAATTGCCATTATTAATCGGCAAAATGTGGAGTGTGTTCTTTTCACAGTAATATATGCCTTTTGTAACTTCACTTGGTTATTTTATTGTAAATGAGTAAGAAAAATCTTAATTTAAGAGATTGTATGTAATATTTATTTCATTAATTTCTTTCCTTGTTTACGTAAATTTCAAAAGATTGCATGGTTTCTTTACAGAAATCTATCTTTCTCGATGCTGTGGAAGTAGCTTGGGGAACATTTTGAGGTTTTCTTAGAATGTAGAATGGTGTAGCCCATCCAACATAAAGAGAAAAACAATGACCACAGACTGAAGTCAGGCTCACGTGTGGCATGCTTCTCTAGTTCCAGCTTTATAAACCAGCAAGGAAAGGAGGTTTCCTGATTCCACCAGCTCTACTGTGACATTGAGTATAAAGACATGTAGCAATAAATGGGGGGGATGGTCTCAGTGCCTTCACAGGCCCGAACTTGCCTTAAATCTTCCTCAACCAAATAAGTATTTCATTAGTGCTTGAGAATTTGAATGTCCGGATGGGTTCACTTGCACAAAAGGAAAAGATTTTTACCACTTTTTTTTTACTATAGCTATGAAGTGAAGAGGCCACGTCTTAGCGCTGAAATGTTGGTGGTACATGACTATGCCTTGTTTAATGACAGTCCAAAACTGTACTGTTGTTTTTCAGTGTAAGAGGCAGGAATGTCTCCCGGCTTTCCTGGACGGCAGACGAATGAGCAGTTGCTTAGTTTGTATGTAGCTACAGTAGGAGCACCGTGTGTGCACTCTGAACTACTTTGACAGAAGTAGGTTTTTGAATGTAACAAGATAAGTCAACTTGAGTTGTAATATATTTTGGGGAATCAGTTCACTACAAATTGTGACTGTAAACATTGTACTGTAAATGTTTTGTAGCTCTCCCCCAATAAAATTTTTTGGAAAAAAACTCTTGAGTAGTTTTGTGTGTGTGTGTGTGTGTGTGTGTGTGTGTTAAAAAACCAGGTCTCCCAGCTTCCTGAGGCCTCAGCAAGTCTGGGAAGAGGTGTGGCACTGGCAGGTCTCAGAAAAGCCTGCATCCACTCGTACCTGTATTTGTTTTATAGCAAATCCTTTCAGCTGAAAGAAAGTAATTATTTGGCTGTCAAGGGCATTTGTTAGCTGTTCCCTTTGGTAATAAGATGCATCCCAATGTTGGCTGACTGGCTGGTGGTAGGGCCTGGCGGGAGACCGCAAGGGGTGTGGCCGGCCTGTGAGTCACCCAGTGGATCACGTGGCTGCTGAAGGTCCGATTTTTCTCTAGTGTGCCTGACCAGGGCCTGGAGCCTGCAACCGGAGGTCTGGGCCAGGCACTGGGAGCTGGGCTAGGGTTTTGCTTGGACTTTGGAAAGCTGAGTTATGTCCTTCAGAGAGGGAGGAAGGAAGATTAAGCCGGTTAAACTTCTATCTGGGTGATGTTTGTTTACACAGACAACTTCCTCTGGGAATGAGCACATTCAGGCTATTTATGCAAAAGGAAGAGGAGGCCAGAAAGCAAATTCATCCAGGCTTCTACCAAAGGCAAACAAGACTGCCTCGGTTTGCCTGCTTCCCAGAGCTTAAGAAATAGTCATCTGTGCTTCTGGGTTTGTTGGTGGTTGGTTTTTACCCTGCTCGTTTTAAAACAATCTTTTAAACTCATATGTCAGAGTTTTCTCCCCTACCCCCATACACACAGTTAAGACACCTTTTCCAAAGCAAGCAAGAGACCCAGCAAGAGTTTGCTTCCTTATCGGCAACAGCTGGGCTCTATCAACCAATCCTTGCCGCTCCCCTCTGGTTGCCCCTGCCTTGGCCAGGGTCTACTGTGACTCACAGCTGGGGGAGGGGGCCTGTCTGATGGACGCGCCAAACTGGGCAGCTGTTTCCAGTTAAGGAAGATGGAGTCGGTGCTCACTGGAGCAGCGGTGTTTTCTTTTTTTTTTTTTTAACGTGGAGGAGGGGATGGTTACTTGCTGCAGCCAAACAGTTTCAAAGTTGTCCCAGATGCTGGGCCTTGGGGGGGTGGAGGGAGCCGGAGGCCAAGAAGGCCTGGGGCTGGGTGAAGCCCCTGCAGCTCCGTGGCCTCCTGGCCATAAAGAATGCGGGGGGGGGGGGGCCGGGGGGGCGGAAACTGGCTCCACGGTGGAGCTATTTAGGCCCGGCTTCATTTCACAGATCTTGTTTCCACTTCATTCTCAAACTTATTTTTCTAAACAAGTACTTTTGATCAGCTGGAATGTTGGACTTCTCTTTGGGGTAAGCCACACTCATTTTTAAAAACTGCTCTGAAGGCCTAGAGCTAGGGCTCTGAAGTTTCCTGTTTTAAACGCGTTGGAAAGCTTGGAGGGCTGGGCGGTCATTCAGAAGTTTTCTCGCCCACACATCAGTAGGGGCGCTGGCTTACTGTGCTTCTGCGGCGCCCAGAATGAACAGTGTTTACTTGCTTACCCTTAGGATAGTATTTTTGTAAATCCAGGATCTAGAAGTAAAATTTGCAAGTAAGAGCAAAGTAGAACTAGCCACCACAGGTGACAGCAGGAGCTAAAAGCAGGGAGGCCCAAAGCTGAATCTAGATGGGACCTATCGTGGGCGGTTGTGGGCCCAGACCCGAGTGATTCCAAGAAGCCCTCCCACTTACTGCTGGGAGACTGGGGTGGGTTTGAAACAGCCCAACATAGTGTACACCACCTTATAAATCATTCCGGAAGGGGGTTGTGTACCAGTACAGGTCTTCTGCCCCTGCTTTCTGAATCTCCTGCTATCCGTGTAAAAAGCAGCACACACAATTGAGAAGCTCTGCGTTGACTATGGGCAAGCCTGAATAGTCTGAATGATGTAGGAAAGACAGATGCAGGCTCTTGGAACTGCCAGGTCCGCTCCTGAGGAAAGGTCTCAGGAAAGCCGTGGGGTGGGTGTCTACAGAGAGCCTGCTGGAGAACACTAAACCTGGGAAGAAAGAAAGCCACCTGCCGAGAACACCGCTGTCCTCCAGCTTAGTTCGTGGTGACAAACGAAGGCGGATATGACTCGCGCCCAATGGTTTTTTTAAACCGGAAGTTGGGTCGCTGCAGCCCTTCGGGCTGACCAGCTGTTGGACTGAGGCCAGGCAAGCTCTTACCCACTGTTCACTTTGTAACAGCAGATCCCCCTGCCTCAGCCTCCAGCTGAGTTGGGACTACAAGTGTGCCGCACCACGCCCAGCTCTTATCTCTTCAATCTCGAAGGCTGCAGTGAGCATCAGATACCCAGGGCAGGCAGTTCTAGATCTGAGATGCTAGCAAGCCAAAGGGGGAGGAAAGAAGAAAAGAGGAAGTTGAGGCACGGCAGGAAGACAGCCAGAGGAGCCAGAAAGTGCAAGAATGTTTGTGGGGGTGCTTGACAGGGTATCTCTGAAGGAAGGTGCGTGGGGGTGCCATGTGGGAGGTGGATTTGGGTCTATAAGTTCTGGGTGTCTGTATGGTTGTCCAGGTGTTTATGGGTGTTGAGCTGTGCACAGTGTTCAGGGATCTGTGTCTCCGATGTGTGTAAAGGATGCAGGAAGGGGATGTGTTTCTTGACTTCCTGTAGGGGGCTTATGAATATGCAGAGTAGAAGGGTCTCTGGGTGTTGATGAGCCTGGGTGTGTCGTAAGGTTCAGATTGCCTATGGAGGGGTCACACACATCAGTGTGTGACCAAGTGTGGATTCGGTTTGTGCCGTGTACATAGGGTTGTAGGGTTTTTTTTTTGGGGGGGGGGAGGCTGAGGGTGTTTCTGGTAGGGTATGGGTGTCATGATGTGGGGGCTGGGTGTGTTGAGGTGTGTGCATGTGAGTGAGTGTGAGTGTGTGTTGCTCTAGTGGGTGTGCCCTTATGCCCTGCTGTGTGAGTGAATGTGGGTTTGGGCGTGTCTGTATACGGCTGCGGCTGTGGGGGTAGGTGTCCGGGCCTTCTGTGTATGAGGAGGAAGGTTCAACTTGTGTTTAGGCCTAGATGTATTAGCAGAGGTATGGGGGGTGTGTCTTCAGGAGGAGGAGGGGGAGGAGGGGACCAACACCTACAAAGGAAAAGCAACTCTCCTTATCAAGCCACTTTCAAGTTAAAACTGCTTTCAAAACCCGGAAATAACTGCCAGGCTGCCATCCGCTTCCTGCTGGGTGGGGGCAAAAACAGGGATGGGTGGGAGGGTGACTACAGTCTCCAGGCCTGCAGGGACCCCAGAGCCACCTTCATTGCTGGCACACCTGCCAAGGCTAAGCTTCATGGGCCCTGCGGTCTGCAGGGACATTTTTAGCACAGATTCACTCCCTGGGGCTGAGGGAGGGCCCTTTTATTTTCATCTGAGCAGAAATAGCTCCTGCCAGCCATTCTTTCTTCCCCGGAGAGGTCGCCCCAAAATAGAGGGAAGATGTAAACCCCGGAGAGGTCGCCCCAAAATAGAGAGAAGACGTAAGGCCCCAGGACGGATGGGGAAGGAAACTCCTGGGATCACTGTAACCAAGTTTAAACTATTTCTCTAAAAATAAGCTGTGTTTTCTTTGTGGATCTGCCTGGCACTAGGGTCCTCCAGTCAGGGTGCTTAGCTGACCTGGGAAGACAGGCAGAATTTTATTTTAAAAAGCGAGTGTTTCCCAGCTGCGGCCTTGGAAAGTTCTCTGTTTTCCATTTATTAAACTCCTAGTTTCCGGCTAATTAAAATTATTTTCAAATAAAACTCTGTAGCCCAGCAATATTTGATGAAACACAGAATTCCCAGTGACCCTCTGCAGGAGGCCAGGCCAGCTGTGGGCAGCCTGTGTCCCCTCTACTGGGCTCAGGGCCTGTTTCATCCAGAAGAGAACTGGGCCTGGACTGTAAATTCCAGCAGCCATGGCAGGCTCCATAAGAAGCTCGGAATACTTTACTTTGTTGCTGCTGCTGCTTTTCTGTGCTGGTGCTGAACCCTTGGGCCTGGTCAGTGTTAGGCCAGTGCTTACCACTAAGCCGTATCCCCAGCACTTAAGGCTCAGGGTAACTGGAAAGCTACTGCCCCCACCCACAGCCACCATCAGTACCACTAACACCATGGACAGAGGGTCCACTTCAAGAGAGACACATAGGCTGGATCTATTTGGCTTTCAGTTTTAATCCCAACACTCAGGAGGCAAAAACAGTCAGGTCTCTGTAAGTTCAAGGCCAGCCAGGTCTGTATACCGAGCTTCAGGACACAGTGAGACCCTGTCTCAAAACAAACAACAAAGTGGGGGGATGCATTGATAATCATTCCTACCTGGTCTCCCTGACCCAGAGATCCTTGAATCCGTGAGATCAACATCCCACGTGTAGCTACACTACACCTGGACCCAGCATGTCTCAGAGGTGGGCAGAACCAGCAGAAGTCAACAGCCACTTGCTATGAGAAACAGCTGGGGGTGCACACGCTAAGACAGAGCCTGCTGTGATTCACCTGCTGGCATTGGAACCCTAACCCACTGGGCAGAGGGGCAGGGCCTGTCCTTTGTCCCACAGATAGTTCCCAGTGTCTGGTAAAGAGTGAACCAATAGCTGCTGCCTTTAGGGAGTGTACAAATGAGGGTTTCGGGATTTGCCCATGAGATACCAAGCTTCAGCACCTCATCCCTTCTGTAGTGGAGAAGTATCCAATTGTGTGGCTACACAACCTGTTTAACAGCCACGAGTCCGTGAATACGTGGCGACTGTTTCATGGTACTGCTAGGGACAAACAGGTCCAGGTTTGTTGCTCATGTATGGTTTCAGCCCTGTGTGGCAAACACCGGTGAATACAATCACTGGACCATACCGAGTTTGATTGACCCCAGAGACTCACATGTGTAAGGGCTTAGCTCTGCAGACAACTGAGCCACACCTCCAGGCTCACAGCTACTCAAGGGAACTCCCACGTCATTTTCAAGGTAATATGTTAGATTGGTTTGTTTATTTTTTGTTTGAGCTGTTTGGTGGTACTGAGGTCCCAGGCATGGGAGCAATCCACTGTCAAGTTACATCCCTAGCCAAATTAGGTATTTTATGAATTGTTTTATTGAGTCTGGTTCTCTTGACTAGCCTGGAACTCACTCCAGCTGAGTCTTGAGGGGTAGCGGCAGGAAGACCAGGAATTCAGGGGCATCCTCAGCCATATAGCAAATTCAAGGCCAGATTGGGTCCTGAGAGACCCTGCCAGGTATACTTACTGTAATTCCTCCACTCAGGAAGCTAAGGCAGGAGGAAGGCCATGAGTTCAAAGTTAATCTTGGCTACAAACTGAGTCCCAGGACTAACAAGACTTAGTCTAAGGAAGAAGGAGGGAAGGAGACAAGAAAGAGAACTTTTAAACTTTATTCCTAATAACGAAAAGTAGAACTAGGGTCCTACGGATGTGGTTCACTTGGAATGGTACTTGCCTACCCTGGATGTGATCTCTGCACTGCTAGTATGGTACCTTGCCCTCACCTCTGCAAGGCAGAACAATCAGATATTTAAGGCCATCCTTAGCTATATAGTGAGTTTGAGGCTAGCCTTGGCTACATGAGACCCTGTCTTGGGGGAAAAAAAGAAACACCTCAAATATCTATTAATGAGTTCCAATTCCAGAGACTCTGACCTCTCTTGGGACCTCCATGGACACTGGAAACACATGGAGCATATATATACATGCAGGCAAAACACACATAAAATAAATGATATAAAGTAATAAAGTAGTAAAATAAATGTTTATTAAACGATGGCATGCTAAACCGGCCATGGTGATGCACAACTTTAATCCCAGCACTTGGGAGGCGGAGGCAGAAAGAGTTTAAGGCCAGCCTGGTCTACAGAAGGGGTTCCAGACCAACCAGGCAGGACTACAGAGTGAGACTTTTTTTTTAAACTGTACCTGCAAGCTGAAATGCAGGAGGTAAAAAGAAAGGCAGTAACAGTAGAAAGGCAGACGTTGCTTCCCATCGCAGCCCCAGAAGAAATACACTTTTAAGCCAGGTTTGGCCCAAGCTAGTAGTATGGCAAGTTCAAGGCCAGCCTGGTGAAACCACTGCTCACAGAACCCAAACTACTCAGGCATTGTGCCTCATACCTGTAAGCCCAGCACTCGGGGTTAGATTGCTGTGAATTTGAGAACAGCCTGGACAACGGCAAACATCCCAAAACAAAATAATTAGATAGTTAATTTAAAAGCATACAAGACTGGAGAGATACTCAGCGGTCAAGAGCACTGGCTGGGCTTCAGAGGACTAGGGCTCAACTCCCAGAACCCACATGGCCGCTCACAACTGCCTGTATGTAATTCTCCAGGTTTGGGGAACCCAGTGCCAGTATATGTGTGGTGCACAGACACACATGAAGATAAGCACTCACATGTAAAATAATAAGATACAAATTTAAAAAGCAAAAACATAAATTGCCCTAGATTTTCCACCCCCATAGGCACTGCCCTCGAGGGTTTGCTTTGGATTTCTCATCCCAGAGCACAGATTGTTACTACAAGTGGGAACAGCTGAGAGCCCCTGACACCAGGGAGAAGGACCTCAGGTGCTGCCAATGGCAGTTTGGATAACCTGGAGCACAGTCTGTTTGAGCCTCAGTTTCTCCAGTTGTGCTAGTCCTTAGTTGCTTTCAGGGATAGTGAATATGTGCTTAGAGATGCAGTGACGGGCCTGAGGACCAGGCAGCAGTTGTTAATACCGGTGTGTCAGCTCTGCTCCCCACCCCCACCGCAAGCCCACCGTTCTCCAGGAAGGCCTTGGAATTTCAAATAGCACCCTCTACAGAGATACTGAACCACTGCCCACAACTAAGGCTTTACATATGTTAATGACACTCTTCCTAAGGTCCTTAACTGGGGCTGGGTCACTATTCTCATTTCAAAGGTAAGGAAATGCTCCCAGAAGCTGTGGAGGTTACAGGGAGAAGGACGCCATCTCCAGGAACCCCTGCTTTGTCCCCACAGTGTCAGCTGACTCTTAGATAGCTCTTCGCCCTGTCAATGGAGCCCTCCCAGAAGACCCTCCTCCCTGGGTGCCATTCCAGGGTGCTCTGTGCCCGGCTTCACTAAACAAACATTCTTCTGTTTTGAGAAAGGATCTTATATAGCCCAGGCTACCCTTGAATTCCCATATATGACCTTGAGTTCCAGGTCCATGTTCATCCCTCTGGTTGATCAGTTCATGGGTGGCTCCTATGGTTTGGATTTTTTGGGTTGTGTTGTTTTATTTTTTTGTTTTTTGAGTCAAGTTCTCACTATGTAGCCCTAGTTACCCTGGAACTCGTTATGTAGGCCAGGCTGGCCCCTGGCTCATAGAGCTCCGCCTGGAATTAGAGATACACACCACCACACCTGACAAAAAGTTCACTATAAAACAATCTCTCACATGAATTTTATCCTTTAGTAAACACAAATTTACATACCACAGGTGTGTTTGTTTTTTAT